TATATATCTGTATGTATGTATCTGTATATCTGTATTTTAACAACATCTATCAGCGCTGCATACTTTCGGATCGACGATTCGAAAAAGTCAAAAGTATATGTACTGCGCATGACTGGACTACACAGGCAAAACTCCCCGGGGTGTTATTCATTTGCATCTACTAGGCCAAAGAATATAGGCTAGGTCTACGTGTTTGCAAAACTGGATAACCTGAAAAAAAAAAATAAATGTATGGCTCGCATGGCTCGCACATTGGGTCGCATGACTCGCTGGCTCGCACTTTGGCACTACTCGGTACACAACCGGCATTAGAAGAAGCTAAAAATGGCGGTCAGTGCGTTTTGCTCTCTAAATTATAATGGAATTAAACTTAAGAATAACATTACCAGATTAGATAGTTATAAAATACGTGAAGCTAGACAAAGAGAAAGGAAACAATATAAATTATAGATTTCTTCATTAATAAAAAACAAATGACGTTGTGTCCGATTTCATGAGCTTGAGTAATATTGCTGTTCACTTCATGGTCGGATTCAGATTATTTTATGCGATTTTAATTGTGTAACCATCCACAACTGCAGCAGCGATGTGAGTATGTGATGATGATGTCATGTTTCCTGGGTCTAGGCCCGTTGTCCGTTAATGTTTCTGCGTTTCCAAGGCTGCATTAATCCCAGTGGTGGATTGAAGGAGGGAGGGGGTAGAAAAAAAAGAAAATTGCATTCAAAGTCTGAGAGTGTCATTTCCGGCCATCTAGAGGTGCCATAATCATAAATTTTCTTACCTCAGCCCCAAATATGGGTGGGGCTGAGGTCTTACAGATGAGGCTATGAGATAAGCCAATAAAAAACAGTTATCCCTGAACCTGAACTGAAGCCTTAATTACCATATCCTAGGGTATAAATTGGGGTGGAAAATAATATTTGGGGAGTTATTCCTTCCATCTAAAGGACTGCCATGAAGTCCTGGTTGCTTTCACTATCTTCCTTACTTGAACTATAGATATGTGTGGTAAGTCTGACTTTTAATATGCATTAACCTATTCTACTGCACATTATAACCACACTGTTTAGGAAGAACATATTATTTTTCTGGATGATCCGTCCAATCACAAAGCAAGAGAAAGTGACAAAGCAAATCTCAATGAAGTGCTAATAGAATTTGTGTCACTTTTAATGGATGTTATAAGTGATTTAAGAATATCTCTTTCTCTTGAAGGTTTGCATGGCAATTATCAATAATAAAATAAATTAATAATTATATTGTTGGTACACCATGTGTAAGAGTATGGTTTTGAGATAAACATAATGGTGATTGTCACGCAGTGACATTGCTCTGACCGTCATCGGGAAAATGAGAATATTTATTTTTGTTAACCGAACCGGACTTTGATTTACAATAAGGAATGAAAATTGTACGAATTGTGTATTTTTATGAAAATAAAGATAATCTGTGTATATTGCTCTGAAAATAACCATGAAAAAATTATGTACACTACTCCATATTTTTATTTTGTATTAGATATTCATATATCATATATAAAATTTGAAAAAAAAAAAAAAAAAAAAAAAAAAAAAAACTGCACATTCTACATACCTGCTCGAATTATTCGGCGCTGCAATTGAAGATGCAGGAAACATGTGTTGTTCGACAATCAGGGAGCAAATGTAAACGATGAATTAATGTGTGATGACAAACGAAGTAATAATAATAATAATAATAATAACTTTCTTCAACAATGATATGGAAACAGTTGTATGTTGTAAGAGAAAAGGAAAACAAGCCATTGTTAGGATCACAATTGGAAGGCAGGCCTTGTCTCATAGTGACCCTTGATAATAATAATAATAATAATAATAATAATAATAATAATAATATTAATAATAATAATAAGAACATGATTTTATATTTGTATAATCCCTTAA